ACTCTTTCCTTTGGAGAGCGCACCAAGAGAAGCTACTTTATTTCTCCTGCCTTCCCCACCACAGTGGCCAGGTTCGCATAATGGCTCAAGGTCAGAGGAAGCCAGGACTGCTCAAACCCCACCGCAGCAGCCGCACGGCCAAGGGGATACTGCCCAGAGCCTGAAGAGTAATTCTGCAAAACCCGTTAAACAAAACCCCAGCACCAAAATCTTCTTTCCCACGAGTTAGGCAGTGCTTCTCAACAGCCCCCAAAGGACTGAAGCCCTCTGTTCCCACTGGTCAAACTGGAAAAGGGCAGATTGATACGAGATCTGAGGAAGAAATTCTTTGCTGTGAGGGTGGTGAGCCCCTGAGGCAGATTGCCCCGAGAAGCTGTGGCTGCCCCATCCCTGGAGGTGTTCAAGGCCAGGTTGGACAGGGCTTGGAGCAACCTGGGCTGGTGGGAGGTGGCCCTGCCTATGGGTTGGAACCAGATGATCTTCTAGGTCTCTTCCAACCTGCACCATTCTGTGATCCTATGATCGTTAAGCTGCAGTGAGGTGCCCCACTGTCCTTGGCTTTGAAAAATTCAGCTGTAAGTGTTTCCAGCAGGGCAGTAAAGAAATAAGCAGAAAGCAAACTGCAAGACATGCCCTGTGGGCATGGCCCAGGCTTCCCAAGCACTATCCTTCTCCGATTGCTCATGGACCTTCCGCTACGGATGGGGCAATAAGAGCACTGGATCCCCAGCCTGTGTAAAACCACAGTCACGGGGAGCAAGCCTGCAGCAGAGAAATGCACTCAATGCTCCCTGCCCGGCGTGAAACGCACTGGGATGGAGACGTATGGCTTCCAAGCATCCATCACGGTGGTGGTGGTACGTGCACCAGAGTTCAGTGCTGTGTTTGGGACAGACACTACTCACCCAGAACACTGCAGTGTTGTAAGAGAAGAGGTTTTTTTTTTTTTTTCTTAATAAAGATCAACGATGTGCTTGGAGGCCTGACGCGATCCAAGCAAGCGCTTGATCTAGGTGAAGTTAGCTCGATTTTCCATCCATCAGGCTGGCGGCACTGAGCTCCAACAGGACACCAGCCAGCCCAAGGGTGGTGGAGCATTAGAAAACCAAGCGGCGCTTCAAAGTCACAGAAAGCGTTTTAAATAACCCTCTCCAAAACAACCTCTGCTGACGATGAGGATAAGACCAGCTGGAGGCCGGGGAAGCAACAACTTGCTGCACATTCATGGTCCCAGCAGCACACGTAGGTGCCCCAGCGACAGTAACTCCTCGGGCTGACTGCACCCCACGTGGAGAGCAGGTCAGGTCTGCGTCGAGCATGCCAAAGGCATCAAAATCATTCCAGGCACTGACGAAATTAATCAACTCGGCTACATTTAATTTTTCCTCTAGGGCTGTGAGTGAAAGTCTTAAAAAAAAGCAAGATGAGGATGGGATGGAAGAAGGCAATTGGCACAGGCTAAACACTCCTTCGTCTCCACAGGGAGAAGGTTAGGCTTTGTTCACTCCTACATCATCTATCTTCATTATTACCCGCACCCTACTCTCCACTCTTCTAGTTTGGGACCTCATACTCTGTTAGGGAATATTCTAATATTCCCTTTGAGGTCTGGCTCATTAGCCTTTCGTTTTCTGCATCCCTGACACTCCTCAGCTGCGGAGAAGGAGTGATTGAAATCCAGGCTGAACCTCAGGGTGTCTACCTAGACTGGAAGATGGCAAACGAAGGGGGGTTGGACTAGATGATCTCCAGAGGTCCCTTCCAACCCTAACCATTCTGTGATTCTGTGGAGCAAAACCCGACAGCAGAGCTCCACCAGCTTACCCTGAGAGATTACAGTCATTGAAACGCCATTGGAAAAAAATCAGCACCAAATTCCTTTTCATCTCAAACGCCAGCGAAGCACACAACCCCGGGCAGGTAGACGAGAGGAGATGGACCTCACTCACCACATAGGATCCCACCAACACTCTCCTGTCGTCCCCGCACCCTGTGCGGAGCTGATGCCTCAGAGGCACCCAACTGCGCCGCCGTCAGCCACGGGCTCCCCAGCCAACCCCTTCATGCCAAGCCGGTGGGTGTTAGGTTTGCGTTGACGTTAATGTACAGCTTTTCCTCTGATTCGTGCTGACACAGGGTAGCTCGCTTGAAAAGGAGACCTGATAGCTTTGCTCCAGAGGTGAATCTGCAAGTCTGCTATCTGACAAAGCTCATTTATCAAAGCTCGGCAACGAGCCGGGCGGTAAATTGTACCCAAGAAACTATTACTGAGGAATAATGATAGGCTGTCTCGACGGAGCCAGACTTTGAATTTCCCAGGGTGACCCAGCATAGACCCACCGTGCCCCACCAGGCCGACAGCCCACCCCGGAGGAGCACGGTTTGCATCGTGGCCTCATTCCTTCCGTTATGGCCTTTGGTGCGGGTCCAAGGGGCAGCATGGTGCATCACTGAGCAGGAGACCTGCCAGGATGCAAAGGCTCTGCCGGGCCAGATTCACCCGGGTTTCTTGGTCAGCTTCTGCCTACACCCATCCAGGCTGTGTCCCACAGACAAGAAGTCTCTTAGAGCCATCCTAAAAAACCTCCATCCCTTCCGAGACTAAGATCTAACTTCTGAGAACGTCCCTGCTGCTTGCTTATCCCTGAATGCTCTGGGAAATGATGCAATAGCTGGATGCGCCGGACAGACACAGACGGTGGCTATTTTTGTCCCTGTAGGAGCTTGCACTATTGGACGGCAGAGTCCCTGAGCGCCAGGCAGGGGTTGGGATCAACCACTTACATCAAGAAGTTCAACATTGAGATCATTAGCTTCTCCCAGGAAAGCCTTCCATTGTGAATAAGAGCTGCCAAAATTAACCGTGGTTATAATGGCCACGGGCATGCATCTGCGAGATGGGTGGCTGGCTGTCCTAAGGGGTGACCGAGGGGCCACCGCACTCTTAAAGCTGCCTAAAGGTAGTTAATTAAAGTGATCTGGTCATTCTGGCCTTACAGGAGTGAAAGAGAAAGCAGAACTCAGGATTCACCAGGCTCTGGCAGCGAGAGCGTTCACGCCGTGCCGGGCAGACCCATCGCTTTATGAAACCAAATGGCAGAGGCTCTAAAGCCCGTTAAAAATGTAAAAATTAAAGCGTGGCACTCACTGCCGCTGACAACACAGCCTAATTTGTCACACTTGGGTCAACCCATGGCAGACAGCAGAGTGAGCTAACGAAGCTCATCTCCATTTGTGTCCCCCTGTCCATAGCTCACCCCTCCAGACCCCATCTGCCCTCCCCGCTGGGCTGGGGACAGCGGTGCCACCGCTCTGCGTGTCGGGGTTGGCCAGCCAGGACACAGGCACGGCTCGCCCGGCTGGTGCCAAGCACAACATTTCATAACTAAACTCCTCCTGCTTTTCCTTTGGGAAAAGCACTCGGCTGAGTCACTCTTCCTTGCAGGAGCATAATTGCCTCGAAGCCTTCTACCCTTCTTTAATTCAGTTGGCCAACGGGCGCAGCACAATACGACAAGTTTAGTTTCCCTGGACAAGCAGAATAACAATGTATTAGGGCTACAGAGACGATGAGGGGACTGGAGTATCACTCTGCTGAGGAAAGGCTGAGGGACGTGGGGCTGTTCAGTCTGGAGGAGGGAAGACTGAGGGGGGATCATCATCCTCCCCCTCTGCTCTGCCCTGGGGAGGCCACATCTGGAGCACTGCGTCCAGTTCTGGGCTCCTCAGTTCAAGAAAGACAGGGATCTGCTGGAGAGGGTCCAGCAAAGGGCTACGGAGATGCTGAGGGGACTGGAGCATCTCTCTGCTGAGGAAAGGCTGAGGGACGTGGGGCTGTTCAGTCTGGAGAAGAGAAGACTGAGGGGGATCTCATCAACGCTGATCAATCCTTCAAGGGAGGGTGCCCGGGGGATGGGAACAGTCTGTTTCCAGTGGTGCCCAGTGACAGGACAAGAGGGAACGGGCACAAACGTGACCATGGGCAGTTCTGGACGCTGTCCTGTGCCACTGCTGGAGGTGCCCCTGCTCTGGCGGGGGGTGGGATGGGGGAGCTCCAGAGGGCCCTTCCCACCCCCACCAGTCTGGGATTCCATGATTCTATTACTGAAACACAGCAATTTTGAAAGAGCGTGAACTCATACAAGATACCTGACACAATAAAACCCTCTCGTCCCTGTGGCCAGGTTTCAGGCACCCTTTCCAATGTCTCCTTCAAACCTCTGCTCCCTTTTTTAAGAGCCACATGCCCTCGAGCAGCAACCCTGGGAGGGACACAGCCTTCTGCCTTCCTCAGGTTTCGGTACAACTGGTCACCGACACAAAGTTCCTGGCCATGACCCCTGTTCATGATGGATGCCGTGAGTTTCCAGGCCTGGTCCAGCTCTGGCAAGACCAAAAACTGAGTGGAAATCAGCAAATTGGTACCGCTGCATTAGCAAAACCCAACCTTTCAAGGCCAAGCCAATGGTTTACATCTAAAGGTCAGCTTCTGCAGCACCACGAGGCGCTGGTGGGACAACTCTGGAAAGAGTTAAGCCTATGCGTCTTGTCTTCAAAAGCTCTGCTCACCTTGGAAGAGGCCACAGATTGAGGGTCAGTGCTGCCCATACCCTGGAAAGTTAATTTAAGCTCTCATTTCTAAATAGCATTGCAGATATCGTTTGAAGGGCACGGCGCTGCCTGCCTGTGTCTCGCTACGAGCAAACACTGACAGGCTGGCCAATTATTCAGATGCTTGGGGGGAGGAAAAAAAAAAAAAAAGGAAAAAAAATGTAATTTACAGTAGATTTAAAAGCCACCCTCTTGCCAATTCAAGTTTGCTCCGACTTCAGTGAGAGCAGTCGGAGAGGTACGAACAATGCCCACGCGTTCTTCAAAGCCTTCCCTCCCGGCAGCCGGCACAATTCGCCCAGATAACAACAAATTCACCCGTCAGCCAGAACAAGAAACGAACTCGCTAAAGCAGCGTCCCTTTATCGGCGCCGTTTTTAAGTTTATCTCCGTGTTTTGCTGTCTCCCCATATGGCCGTTTCTTTAATAAAGGGAATGTTGGCGAGAGCTTGAGATAATAAGCAATGAATTAGGAAATGAAACAAATCCTGCACTAATGAGGAGCCAAGCGAGTGTGGGAATGGGAACTGCGTGTTCCCTCTTTACTCACACCGAGTTTGACCAAGAGCCTTTCTACGTTGCCTGAAAAATCGGTTGACTTTCCTCCTGTGAATCCCAGTGAGAAGATAAACAGTTACAGCTTTTTGTTTCTTTGTTAAAATAAACAGAACTTGGTCTCTTCTGCAGTGTCATCTCCAGAAAATCTGATGGCAGCTCATCCCTGGAAAGGTGGAAGGGGATGTGCTCGCCGGGCACTCTCCTGAAGATGACAACACATCTGGCTGTAGGACCACCACTGGAATCCAGGCGGTGGCGAGCTCCGTGGGGAGCACAGGGCTGTGGGTTAGGGAGGTCAAGGATCAGGTCAAAGGAGATAGGACCCCAAATTAGGATTGTCACGAGAAGGGGAAGTCCCAAGAAAGGTTTTCTCTCTCCTCCCTCGTTACAAGGCACTGGGAAACCACCGTTTGCCTCCCTGCGGTAGCACGTAACAGACCCAGCGTGGTGGTTACGCAGGCAGAAGAAAGCTGCCACTGATTAACCAAAATTACACCCCAGGCCCGTCTTTTCTTTCCCTGATCACACAGGTGTGATACGCAGCTGCCTTCTGTGACGCTGAAATGTCATTCTTCGTAGCCAAATAAAGGATCCCCGAGAAGACACAGTGACAAAGAACAAGCAGGAAATGATCAAAGAAAGACGTTTTTTCCTCTTTGCCTTTCTGCAGGGAGAGCAAACGCTTCCATTAATCAATAACAACTCTTTTGCACTTGTCAATACGGCAAAAAAAAAACCAAATCAGATGCTCAGGGAAACAGGAAAGAAGATGAGAGGCAGCAGCAAGGAGGAGAAACAGCCACCTTTTTCCGCAGGTCGCATCAGCCCTCAGCTAAGCTGCAGCAGCTCCTTTGTGCTGACCTATTCCTCCAGTTTTTTCTACCCATGAAAAAGGCGAACCCTCCCCTTGCTGGATCCAGAGGATGCTCTAACAGACCAGGCTGCCTGGCAGCTGGGAAAGCAACCTGACATGGAAAAGTACAGCAGGCAGACCCGGGATTCAGTGGACGAGCACCGGATGACATGCTGGTCCCAAGGGTCAGAGATGCTGGATCCATGGGCCGAGGCCAACGGTGTGAGGTTCAACCAGGCCAAGTGCTGGGTCCTGCACTTGGGTCACACCAACCACATGGACTCTACAGGCTTGGGGAAGAGTGTCTGGAAAGCTGCCTGGTGGAGGAGGACCTGGAGCTGTTGGCGGACAGCCAGCCAGGTGGCCAAGAAGGCCAATGTCATCCTAGCCTGTATCAGGAACAGTGTGGCCAGCAGGACTGGGGCAGTGATTCTGTCTCCCTGTCCTCGGCACTGGTGAGACCCCACCTCGAGTGCTGTGTTCCGTTTGGGGCCCCTCACGAGAAGAAAGACATTGAGGTGCTGGAGCATGTCCAGAGAAGGGCAACGGAGCTGTGAGGGGTCTGGAGCACACTTCTGATAAGGAGAGGCTGAGGGACCTGGGGGTGTTCAGCCTGGAGAAGAGGAGGCTGAGGGGAGACCTCCTCGCTCCCTACAGCTCCCTGACAGGAGGGTGCAGCGAGGGGGGGTCGGGCTCTGCTCCCAAGGAACAGGCGATGGGACAAGACAAAATGGTGTCACATTGCACCAGGGGAGGTTTAGGTTAGACATTAGGGAAAAATTCTGCACTGGAAGGGTTATCAAAGACTGGAAGAGGCTGCCCAGGGAAGTGGTTGAATCACCATCCTTGGATGTGTTTAAAAGCTGTCTAGATATGGTGCTGAGGGACATGGGTTAGCAGTGGGCCCGGTAGAGTTAGATAACAGTTGGACTCGATGACCTTAAAGGTCTCTTCCAGCTATGACGATTCTGATTCTACGATTCTATGACCTGCAGATACCCTGGCAAGCGGGGATAAGCCAACACAGGACTATGAAGTCCCTACACTCCTCTTCAAACCCAGAAAGCCCCATCTCAGTGCACAGCTCTGGAGGGTTTTGGTTTTGTGTTTTTTTTTATTTAATTCCTTCCGGCAGCAGAGATGCCCAGCGCTGCTCCCGGCAACTCACAGAATAGCCTAGGCTCAACTCAGCCAGCGGAGGGAAGAGGAGAGGGGCACGGGGAAGCCTGGGCACGAGGGCTGCTCCAGGTAATTCCTTAAATCACGATCCCAAAGCGAGAATATCCACAAAAAAAGCATCTCTGCTTCCTCAGACAATTGCTCTTTTCTCCCATAAAGCAAGAAGCAAGCTTGACTTGACAGGAACAGCGATTTGCACGTGTTGGTTAAGGACCCCACCAAGGTGGCAGCGTGGCCATCTGCATTACAGCATTTTCCTCTGCTACTTCCAACAAGACACCGGACTTCTACTTGCACTGTCGCTGCCCCTTAACTTAATCTCATCCAGTTTGTTGAGCTGCCAGTCAGCGTACTGTAACACTGCTGATCCAACGCAGCTGTGAAAATCTCAATCAATACCTCTTTCTTTCAAGCGGGGAGCGTGATCTATGAGCCTAACTGCAAACAGCCGTGGTTTGGAGATCAGCCATGCAACGGGAGACAGGGAAATCGCGGCTCGCTGTCCTGCAGCACATCTCCAAGCGGGAAATCAAAGCAGCACCTTTGGCACCTTTAGAGAACACAAGACTTGGGTTCAGGAGCACAAGTGAACGGAGGATGCCCAAGTCACCCCTGAGCGTGGCTACAGGACAGCCGGAGCCACTTCTGCTCTCTGATGGACATGCACGGGTCACTCTGACACCCAACCGCAGCTCCAATTTTAGTTCCAAAAATTATTCAGTCCTCTCTTCTTCCCATCAATACACTGCCAGGCAGCTGCAAAGAACAAAACTTCATCGGAGGCAGCAAAACGGCACCAAAGTAGGCAGCTGCTGCGGGGAGGAGCGGCTGGGGAGCATCTCGCCTGCCGCAGTGCTGCTCCCATCAGCCGGGCTCAGCATCACCGCGTTCAAGAGCCTGAAGAGCCCTCGGTGAAACGGCTGATCGAGCAGGTTCTCTTGAACAACTCCATGATAGCAGCAGCCGTCCTGAGAAGCTGAGATGCTCACCACAGGGTCGCTCACCCCTGGGCAGGCAGCAGAGAGGGGGACCAACTATGGAGCACCAGAGCCCATCTTCACCACAGGGAAAGAAACCACCTTGTATTATCGTTCTGTTCATTGATTAGCCACAATAATTGCAGAGATTGCAGCGAAGCAGGGTAGGATTTATCCCCCAATCCCATAATTTAGGGCACTGAAGCACAGGCAGAGGCAGATCTACCCCTATAAGCCCCCGCCAGGTACGCCACGGGCTGCTCAGGGAAGGGAGGGAAGGCTTTACACCAGGACAGGAGTGCCCAGGCAGAGCTCTGCGGGTCCGTCTTGGGTACAACCAGGCAAAACCCATCATTGTACACCAGTACCATCTCTCCAAGGTGGCTTGCTCGCTGCAGAGATGCAGATTTTCACTGCGGAGCCAAAGAAAGCTGCTCTGGGAACCCACCGCTCTGAGGTTACATTTGTCCTCCCGGGCACAGAAACGGGAGTGAAACAGCCGGAAAAGGAGCAAGAAGGGAAATTCAGCAAGGAGAGAAATTCAGCCTGCGTTAAGCAGCCCCAGATGTTCAACTCACCTAGCACAGAGAAGCACACACCTCCTTCCAAACCCTGTTTTCCTGCCCCCATCCCAAATTCCTGCTCCGGTGGGGAGCGCATCCCACCCAGCCTCAGCACCGAAGCCCTTCCCGGCTGCACCATCCCCACTCCCCTGCCAAGGGAGCGATCCCGGCTCCTCCGGTCGCGCTACGTGGCCTCCTTGAATGAAACAGCCTTTTTCCGCAGCCAGTCCCTAGAGATGCTCTGCAATGCTCCAGAGCCCGCAGACTCCGCGAGGCAGTCTTACGGCCCTTCCAAGTACATTTTTGCACACCCACCCGGCTGGTTTGACCCCAGTAGGGGCGAAACGCGCCTCACTGGGAGCAGTTTGAGGACAGACCTCTCTGTCGTTAGCAGGAGGCAGAGGCACAGCAGATGCAGATGTACCAGGGACAACCTAGGGAAACCCCTGCCATTTCAGGAGCAAAAGGCCACAGGGTTCTCTTGATCTCCTAGAGCTCCAAAAGCGTGGCTCAGAGCTAAAAACCTTCCGCAAAATAAAGGGAGAAGTTGTAAAAGCGATCCAGGCTAATTTCTGCTCAACCATCTGTGCAAACTCTCTGTTTTACTGAGGGGTGCCCCAGCTAAAGCTGCACTCGGAGCCAGGCTCCTCTTGCTGCATTGTGATGGAATATCTCAGACAGCGATCTGGAAACATCGCGTATAAAAACTGAGTCACAAGTTGCTATGGACTGGTCATTTTTGTCAGAAAATAGCCCCATGGATACTTACCATCTCTGCCCAGAAGGATGCAGGGATGCCAGTCTGATTGGAGAGGTGGAGAGTTCGGGAAGCATCTTGTAGAACTTGGATACTGCCAAAATTTATCTTACTTGGGTGCACGTAGACAACTGGTCCTTCTCCGCTGCTCACTAAATGGATTTTCTGCTCCAGGAAGCAGGTAGGAAAGATCAAAAAAAAAAAAAGAAAAAAGAAAAAAAAGACAGGGAAAGTTTAAAAAGGTTAGACAGCGCTAAGGGTACTCCTAAACTGAGGGGTAGTTACAGCTGTTGGACGTTTTTGGTGTTGTAGGGTTGAAACAGAAGGCCTGGAGCAAGTGTGAGATCTCGAGTGATGCCATCTGAAAGCCACAAGCTCCCGTTATTGGGGATGAAGAAACCCAGTTTCCCACGCTTGCTTTTTCACACCTCCTGCACACCGTTAGCTCTCCTTCCTCTACCTCATGCCCGCTCCCACCCCTTTTACTGCTCAGTCTTGCCCCAAACCGCCTTCCCTGACTTCTGCTGCTGCACAGCCACACTTGGAGAGTAACTTCTTTACAATTCCCAAAGCTACACCCGTGAAAACCAGCACAAGTCAGAAGCAAAGCTCCTCAGAGTAGAGCTCATGCAAGTTAGCTGCCTCCAATTTGTGCTTAGGTGTATTCCTTCTATTATATGAATAACAGACATTAATTATTAATTACATCATTCAAGCAGTATTTTTTTCCCCCCTCTTTTGACAGTCTGAGACCACAAAGTTTTGTTCTTGCAGCACTGTTGGGGGAGGAATGGAGATCTCTTTGCTAAACCATCTTCTCACATCATTAAAAACAAGGAGAATTTCTCCGGTCTGGCTGGATTTCACTACTTCTAAACACCCCAACTCTTAAACAGAATCTGAACGCATAAAACTCCCAACGCTGACAAGACGCTGTATGATTCACTGGAGGGCACGGAGCATGATTTAACCACAAAAGAAACCAGGCTCCGTGATGTTAAACCTTTAATGATGTCTGACTCAAGGAAATGGCATTGACAGCTGTCAGAATCGCGAGTCCAACTCAGCCAGAAGGAGCAGCATCCACAAATACTCATCCCTTGACAGGACGCTACTGCGCGCAAGTTAAGAGCCAAAAATCACACACCAAGGCTGGAACCTCAAAAATAAGGAGCTGAAGCCATGCATGCTGACGGACGTTTTATCCCTCCAAGGGAAGGGAGGTATGGAGACCCGTGATGCTGCCCAAAGCTGCCGGGAAGAAGAGGCCGGAGGGAAGAGCTGCGCGGAAGCAGCAAAAGCAGGGCAGAACCCTTTGGAGATGAGCAGAACAACACCTGGAGGATGCTCAGGCTAGCTGGCTTCCATCAGAGTGTGTACTAACGTGATTTATCCTCACGAAGGAAAAGGCTTATAAAAACAACCAACCCCTTTATCTACAGTCTTCTTAAAGGGCCAAGAGAAACCTCATTCAGCAGCGTTAGAGGCAACGTGAGACACAGGGAAAGGCAGTAAAAGGAGATGGCAAATCCAGGAGATCGCTGCACGTACCCACACCCCACCAGCAGCACCGCTGGTTTGTCGATGGGTACGCAATGTCACACTCGATCTTTTAGGAGTGAAGAGCATCTGTCCCTGGCAGACCCGCGCCGTTTGAGAGGCCGCTTATTTTGACAGCGGCCAGCTGCCAAATCCCCCGGCCGCGGCACACAAGGCTGCTCTGCCACCGGTAACCCCAGGGTTGGGTTTTACCAGCTCCTTAGCGCAGATTACATACACCAAATTGAAGCTGGTACGCAGTCACTGGCAAGGAAATACCAGGCAACAGCCCCAGGGAGGGACCCTACACAACCTGGATGAAAGATCTGTGCAGTATTTCAACCTCCGTAATTCACCAGTGTAATTTAAGACATTAAGAGCAAGCTTGTGTTTTGCTGTAGTGGAATATATCGCAGCCATTGCCCTGAGGGCAGATTTGCACCCTATCATCCATACGGGGGGGATGTGCCACCGGTGCAGGATGTATAATAAGATGGTTAGCTGTTCTGCCAGCCCAGAAAGCCTCGGATGTGTCAGCTACGAGTGAACTACTGATACCACACTCAAACTATAGGGCAGACCTATAGAAAATGTGAAGAATCTAGCCTGACAGCCAAAAACTCACCTCTGTGCTGTTGATGCACCCAGCACTTGCCGGGCACTCGCAGCAGCTGAGCATAAATGCTGCACGTTAAAGATCAACTTAATGGGTGCACACAGCCGTGCAATCTCATGCTAGACGTTTCTTGAGGGACAGCTAGGATCCTCCAGCTGAAATGTTTGCCCTTGGGGCAAAAAATTGTCATATTCGTCTCCAAATAAAAGAGATCAAGGTAAACTTTGAAACTCTAAATTGTTAGCCCAAGGGTAACAAGTGTGGGGTACTGCATCTGGGGAAGAATAACCCCATGCACCAGTACAGGTTGGGGGCTGACCTGCTGGAGAGCAGCTCTGTGGAAAGGGACCTGGGAGTCCTGGTGGCCAACAGGATGACCAG